TTCTCTCTAAGAATAAGGTGGGGAGATAGAGGAAGACATCTTGATATCAATATGTGGCCTCCACATGCACCCACACAGGTAGGTAAAGCACACCTGCACAGCCAAGTACAACCATGCATGTACGCACACACGCAGAGCCCCCAATAATTTTTAAAAGCTTTCATTATTCATTTTGTCACTCGCCTGTCATTATTAGTTGATTTCCTTTTGCTTATAACACAAATAGGAAAAAAACCTTTAGACATCAATCCATCTACCTTTTAAGCAAGCATAAACCCATATTACATTCTAAATTTAACCATCAGCCAATCTCAACAAGTCTCCCTAGCTTATGTAAATACTGTGCTATGGAAAAGGGGAAATGCATATCAATTTCAAGGAGTTAGAAAAAGAAGTCCATGTTATGTTCCAGGTATTTCTCTAGTGAAAACAGGACAAAAAATGTGTATGATATGTGGAAATAATTTTAATTTGGATTAAGGGAGACTTGTCACTAGGTACCAGGAAAAAAAAAAAAGCTATCAATAAAGGTTTCTAAGTCAACATCCTTTAACAACAAAGATGATAATCTAATTTTGAAGTGTTCTTCCCTGAGATTTGGAAAAATGTCAAGGTTTTAGTCTATAATTATCTCAATCTCTCCCTCCAGCTACTCCTCCCTCACACCCCCTCCAAAAACAAAAAAAAAAAAAACCTCCACAAACAAAAACAAAAAAAAAATGTTCTTACTATGGTGTCAGAGCAACATCAACACCACAATTATATTGGTTCTGTAAAAGACAACAATAATCTGCTTTGGAGGATAATACTGATCAAGTGAAAACACTACATACTCAACAAATCACTTAGCAAATATAAAAATTCTATGTTGCTGGGTATGTTGGGTGAAGCACACCTTTAATCCAAGCCCTAGGGAAGCAGGCAGATTTCTGAAGTTCCAGGCAGTCAAGACTACCTGATGAGATATTGTCTTTAAAAAAAAAAAAAAAAAAAAAAAAAAAAAAAAAGTGTGTGTGTGTGTGTTGGGGAGATAGGATGTGGTTAATAACTTGACTTTATTTGAAGGAGTATGGCCTGAGGATTTAAGATGAAAGAACTGGGAGAAATGGCATGTAGAACTGAAAGCCTGAGCATGATGAAAAGAGGACAGAAAGGAAGACAAAATACACTTGGAAGTTAGAGCACAGAAATCAATTAAGGGGGGGGAGGGGGCACAGAGATGATTAGGAATCAAGATAGAAAAAGAGGTAGGTTAGAGAGAACTAGAAAATGGAATTCCTATGATACATTAAAAACTTGAATTTTATTCCTAGATCTTTTCTTTTCCTTCCTTCCTTTTGTTTATAAAACAGGGTCTCAAACATCCCAGGCAGATCTTGAACTCCCTATGTTGCTAAGGATGACCCTAAACTTCTGATTTTCTCTCTAGCCTCTAGCTCCTAATTGCTGGGATTACAGATACATACTGTCACTCTCTTGCTACTCTAAAGTTAACTAAGAAAATTATCAGATTTTTCTCTTAAAAAATACCTGCCAGGCCTTTGATTCCAGCACTCAAAAGGCAAAGGCAGATGGATCTCTGTGAATTCGAGGCCAGTCTGGTCTTCAGAGTGAGTTCCAGTATAGCAGGGCTACAGAGAGAAATCCTGTCTTGAAGGGGGGGACCCCCCCAATTTTTTTTAAATAATAAAAAAAAAAAAAAAAAAAAACACAAAATCCTAGCAAGCCAGCTGCAACCCTATTACTGGCCAAGTAAAGGTAGGTGCATCATGAGTTTAAAGTCAGCCTGGGCTATACAGCCAGACAGTGTCAAAAACTAATAACAGAATGAGCCAGGCATGGCAGTACATCTCTTTAATCCTAGCAGAGACAGATAAACATCTGTGAGTTCAAGGCTAGCCTCATCTACACAGTGAATCCCAGGCCAATCAGGGCTATAAAGTAACGAAGTAGATCCCCAAACTCCACCCCCTACGAGAGAGAGACAGAGACTGTGTGTGCGTGTGCACACAAGCCTGGACATATGTATACTGGGAATAATTAAAATTTATACACTTGTCAATCACATTCCTAGACAAAATTATTTTACTCAAAAATCACTGACTTAACCTCTGGTTTAAAGTATTGCTTTAGTGAATAATTTAGAGGTGGCAAGCATGCACCAACTTCAAGAATTATCTAGTATGTACAAGGTCCTCGGTTTTATTTCCAACAGCTCCCACATGCACACTCAAACTCACACCCAAATGCACATGCACACGCACCCTTCATTGTAAGCTCCATTCTGAGGTGGTATGGCTCTAAGGGCATGCAAGTTTAAGCTACTCATTGATAGCTGGTCTAGTATACTCCTAATACCTCTTTCAATTTAGTTCAACTGTAGAATACGGGCAATAATCAAAGAACTTAAGATTGTGTGTGTGTGAGAGAGAGATCACTGATATACCATGGGCCCAGTATGTCCAAGTCAGAGGACAAAATGAAGCAGTCTGCTTTCTCCTGCCATCATGTGAGTCCTTTATCAGCGAGCCACACACGTTTCTTTAAGAGGATCTCTGTGAGTTTGAGGCCAGGCTGGTCTACAGAGAAAGCTTTGGCAGAGATGGGTCACAAAAACAGGTGCAAATGACATTGGATTAAAAAGAAATAAAGTAACAATCCACTCTGATTAATTCAAAATACCCACATTAAATCCATTTGCTTCAAATTCCAATATACATTTAAAACTATATATTATACTTAAAGTACAGTCTTGAACCTTACTTTAACATGAAAACTAATCTGGATTTTTAAATTCCAGGTGATGTTCATATAATGGTTCTGTCACAGACTTTGTAGAATGGTGGACTGGGCTGAGGTGGTAGTGCAGTTGGTAAAGTGCTTGGAAACCCTGGATCTGATCCCCAGGGCTGTATAAACTGGAAGTAGAAGCATAGGAAAATCATCACAAAGCTCAGGAGGTAGATAGAGGCAGGAGGACCAGAAATTCACCAGTCTTGCCTACACAGACAGTTAAGAGGCCAGCCTTGGATACATGAAACCCTATATGAAGAAAAAGGAAAGGGAAGCAAAGGAAAAAGGAAAAAGAGGCTGAATAGATGGAGTGTAGCTCAAAACATTGGTTTGCTCAGCAAGCTAATTTCTAGCACAAAAAGAAAAGGCCAAAGAACAGAGGAGAAAGGAGCTGAGGAAAACACTCGAATGTTCAACAACAGACACAAAGCAAAAAAAAAAAAAAAAAAAAAACCAAAAAACCTTTACTAATGCAAAGGTAATTTGAGCTATAAACTCCAATTTTAGCTAGCATATATTCTGAGATAAGGACATACATGGTGTGCTGAATTTTTTAATTTATTTTTATTTTATGTGCATTAGTGTTTTGCTTGCATACATATCTATTTGTGTAAGGGTGTCTGGTTCCTTGGAACTGGGGTTGTGCACTACTATGTGGGTACTGAAAATTGAATTGAGGACCTCTGCAAGTGCTCTTAACCGCGGAGCCATCGCTCCAGCTCCATGTTGAATCCTGAAAGTAATACTTACTGCAATTTGCCGTTTTAACTACTGCTAAAATAACATTTTGATAGTAAAGAACTGTCATAAAAAGGCACATTGAAATTGGTATTTGAAGTACTACAGAGAAGGCATATAATCCATTCCAAAAGAGCAATATGACTAACTTAGAGAGTCTCAAATATCTCATAAAGCATCTGCTATTATTACACCACTCTTGGAGGTATGATTTAAACAGGGAGGCCTAATGTCAAAAATTCACACTAATATCTTTCACCTAGAAAATGTTCTCCTGCCAACATTCTTGGCTTTCAATAAAGGTGCATTTATTTGATGTTCCAAGATATTTTGAACTTGGTTAAAGTGATGAAACCAGGAACACTGGTTAAGGTAACTGAAATGAAGTAATATAGAATTCAGGTTTTCATAGACATCAGGGGTTGGAAATGTGATCCTTCTCTACAAAGTCCAGAACTCAGGGCCAGGTTAACATTTTCGCTTGCTGACCAGGTAGCCACAACTGCCGATCAAAGTTGATCTAATTTTGTTTTAATAGGTTTTGTTTTTGATGAGGATAACCTAATATTATTGAAATTACATGTTGAGTGTATTTTCAATTATCAAGGAGGTAGAGGGAGAAAATTAAGGTTCAGAATTATAATTCACAGGTCAATAAACTATGTAACACTATACATACAATAGTAAATAATACCATACCTAACTACCAGTTTTCTCTGTGACAGGAGCATCAGAGTATGGCAGTTAAAAATTAGCAGGGCATGGTGGTACATGTATATAAACCTAGCACCTCAGCAGCCGCGGTAAAGGATCATGAGACCAATCTGAGCTATACAGGAAGATCCTGTCTCAAAGAATAGAAACATGCTGAGGATGATAAAGTGTTTGCCCAATCTGGGTTCTATGCCTGGCAAAACTGAGCTTCATGGCTCATGCCTGCAATCCCAGCATCCAGGAAGAGTAAGCAGGAGAATCAGGATTTCAAGGTCATCTTTGGCTACATAGTGAGTTCTCTACCAGCCAGGGTTACATGAAACCCTGTCTCAAAAAAAATAAGTAAATAAATAAAAACAATAAATAACAAAATGCTCAATTCCCAAAGGATTATTTAATATGGCATACCCAACCCAAAGCAATAAAGCCACAGTTTAAAAAACACCTTGGAATCTGTTACATGAGCAAACACTACAGTTTGAAGAGATTAGAGCCAGCACACTTGAACTGATGTTGCTAGCCATATATCAAGTGTACCTTCATGCAAAGATTTTAGTTACATCCTAGAGGCAATTAGCATTATGAGAATTAGGCTAAATAGTTAAGAGAATTAAATGTGAGCTTTCTAATTTTTTTTCTTGCCTCTTTTAAGGGACCAATTTCACCAAATATTAATAATAATAATAATACTAATAATAATAATACAGCCCCATTCCCTCTGCTTATGATAAAAATTAGACAACAAAAATACTTACACAGGACTGGAATTCAAAGAGCAATGATCCACCATCATTTCTGGAAGGAAATCCAACTTAAACGCAGCCATCACCTCACTCTCCCCTTCAGAAGCCAATGATAATAACTTGCTGCACTTGTCTGATCCACAAATACACACAGCTTTAGCTTCCTGGGCCCCACAAAAAACACAAAGTGGAAACGGAGCTCAGGGAAACCAGCAGTAAGTGCCACAAAAAGAGGCAGGTCTGGGGAAGGGGCAGGGAAAGGGAGTACTGGACTAAAATGGGGATGCGACCATGTGAAGGGAGGCTCAGCCCAGCACACAATGAAAGTGCTGATGTACCAGGCTTGTTTTGTGTGATTTTCCCTGGCGAAGCAGTACTAAGTGCACTGTCAGATAAATGGTGTGTCAGATTCATGAAGATAGTGTAGCCAACAAAGCAGAAGAAACACAAACTTGTTTCACATCCTCCGAAGTCCTCCCTGCAAATCAGTATTTGTGATCCCACAAAGTCAAAATTATCTGAAGGAAAAAGCAAACAGGAAGAACAAAATGACAACAGCAGCAACAATGAATAACCAACCAAGAAAAAACCCACTTCACTTTATGTGGTCCAAAGTGTTTTTTTAAAGAACTGGGTTGTTGACCTTGGTTTTAAACTCAGTTTCCATGTGTCAAAGACAGCAATGAGCACAGTTCTTGAGTACAAATTAATCCCAGAACAGTCACAAAAGGAACAGTAAGGCCAACAGAAGCAGGCCAGAGGGAAGCTGTTGTCAAACTAGCCACCTAAACCCTGTTTTTCACCAGCTACTTCCACTGGACTGACCTTGTTCTCTTTAATAGTGTTCAGAGTAAAGAGACAAATCAGTCGCTCATCAGATAGGCCTTCAAAAAACTCTGGTTCAATTACTCATTAGGTGACAGGCAAAATTTTTTTTACTAACTCCGAATCTTAATTTGCCAAAAATTAGAAGGAATAGGAATATTCTGCTTCATTCTTAGTAGAACACTAGGAAACAACATTTTTTTTTTTTTTAAGTTTTCCACCAGCTTTTCTTTTTTTTCTTCTTATAGACAGGGTCTCACTATATAGCTCTAGGTGTCCTAGAACTCACTATGTTGACTGGGCTAGCCTTAAACTCAGAGATCCATCTGCCTCTGCATGCACCACTACATCTGTGGCCCTTTCTAATGAAATAAAAACAAAAGCCACTAGTGATAATAATGAAAAAAGAACTCTGTCTATTAAGAATACAAATTCAAAACACAGGGGAAGAAGAAGGCAATGCAGGGTTAGTCTTTTCATTCTTTCACCCTCCTTAAGGCCTAGAGGTATAATAGTTCAGTGGAAGACTTACCTAGCATGTGTAACAACATGGGTTCAATCCCTAGGACTGAAAGGGGAAAATACTGTTGCTAAAACCAAGAATGATTAATGCATGCATAAAAATTCCATAGTGAGCGAGCTATTGAGATGGATATACTTAGCAATAAAGGCAGATGTGTGCTCTCTTCTCAATTTAGTTCCACATCCTTCTAAACAACAAATGGTGGCATTTCAATATTCAGGCAATGATTCTAAAACCTAGCTCTGAAAGTCCTCAAATTTCACAGGCTTCCTTTCCATTTTTATCACCAGGATCGTCTTATTGCAAAGATTTCACTTCATCCAAGTTCAGCTCACAACACAGGAAACTTTGGAAACTGTTATAATCATCTTATAAAAGTGAAATGAAGTGGGACTGGTGTTACATGCTTGTAATCCCAGTACTTGGAAGATAATGTCAGGGTGATCAATTCAAGGTGAGCCTCTGCCACACTGCAAATTTCAAGGACTGCTAGGAATACAAAAGACCCTGCCTGTCTCAAGCAAAAACAAATTCCCCAAACCATAAAAGAAGGACAGCATGTGACAAGGTGACTTCAAACTTATAGTCTGTAACAATGGTTAATATCTATCTACAACTGACCCAAGAAAGCAGAAGCTAGGTTTTCGCTCCAAAGTCTATACACAAAACACTCCACTTCTAGAACTCTAGCAGAGAATAATTTTCCTATTTGTAAAAAACTTGGGTCCTGAAGGTCAATTTTGGAGATGGAAGCAGCAGAAATACTCTTCCAATTCCACTAAAGAGGGAAACACAAGTAAATGTCTACTGAGGAGAAACTGCAAACAATCCACAGTTCACCACCCTGACAGATTGCTGTGACTGCTTAAGGTACTGGCAGGTTTGTCCCAGTTCCTCTTATAATCACTGGAGCCGATAACATTCCTCATCCTATAGAAAGTTAAATAGCCCAAGAAACAACTTCCAGAATCAAAGATAAAAGTGGTATTTTTGTTTAAGAATCCCACTGGTTGTTGCAATGCTTCTATAATTCATTAAAGACACACAAATTCTAACTATGTCTTTATATTAATTAATAAAGGGGGAGCACTTAAACATGGAATATATAACTGAATTGCTAGGCACTACTCAATGTATGATAGAATATATACTTCTTTCATTAAGCCCTGGGTTAAGAAACACTGATCACCCACCCCCTCCCCAAAGACAGAACTTTTATTCAAAGGAATTCTGAGAGTCTATTTAATAGAGGTTTAACAAAACAACAACAGCAACAACCAGGAGTGGAGGCACTACAAGTGCACTGACTACTCTTCCAGAGATCCTGAGTTCAATTCCCAGCAACCACATAGTGGCTCATAACTATCTATCATGAGATCTGGTGCCCTCTTCTGGCATTTGGGGATACATGCAGAAAGAACACTGTATATGTAATAAAAATAAGTAAATAAATTTAAAAAAAAAAAAACCCATTATGAAACTAGAGAGATGGTTTAGTGGTTAAGAGCAGGTGGTGGATCTTTGCCAGTTCTAAGACATTCAGGGCTGCAGAGAAAACCTGTCTTTAAAAAAAAAAAAAGGAAAAAAGGAAAAAAAAAAGACAGAGGATCAGTAAGAACACTGCAGATTAAAACCAAGAAAACCAAAAAACAAACAAAAAAACAAAAACTAGACTCTAGCACACGCTGCATTTAGAATATACAAATGAGTAAATTTAGCGTGAAAATGGAAAAACTGGATTAGTAGAGAAAACTCACAACAAAAAAACAAAACAAAACAGAAAAATCCAGCATGGCTGAACACAAACACCTAGGAGGCAAGTCCAAATAGCCATCTTTCATTTACTTATTTGTTTTATTCATTTTATTTTATGTGTATTTTGCCTGCATGCATTGTTTGCCACATGCACAGTTCGTGTCCACGAAGGTGGGAAGAGGGCTTTAGATTCCTGGAACCAGAGTTATGAACCATCATGTGGGTGCTGGATATTGAGCCTAGGTGCTCTGCAAGAACAACAAAGTACTAACTGCTGAGCTATCTATCTCTTCAGCTCCCCAAATAGCTGACTGACATAAACAGGGAGTACATATTTTAATGTTTGTTCCAGTCCGTCTTTGAAAGAGCAGTAACATAAAGTTTCGTTATGTAAGAACAGAAGAGATTATGGACTGACACTGAATCCTAAAAAACATACATCATTAAAAATCAAGTTACGTAAGGAAAGCCAAAAAAGAAAATATTTAGAAAACAGCCATAGACTTAGACAACTAAGTGAATTGTGTATGCCTGCCTCTTCCCTGCCTGTTGGATCGTTAGAGATAACAGGGATACATACACAAAAGAAGCAATAGGATTTTCACTTCAGAGTAACCATCCAGAAGAGCTTAAATTTTTAGCTTAAAACATTGAAACTAGAAAGAATTTCCTTCCAAAAACTGAGTACTTCTGAGGCCGAAAAGAGTGCCCAGTGGCTTAAGAGGATTCACTGCTCCTCCAAAAGACTTCTGAATGGTTCCCAGCACCCCTGTCTGGCAGTTCTCAACTTCCTGAAACCCCAGATCTAGAGGATCCAATGGCCTCTTCTGATCTGAGTACATGTATACACATCCTGGGTTCTTTTTTTTTTTTTTTTTTTTTTTTTTTTTTTTTTTTTTCCTTCCTGAGACAAAGGTTTCTCTGTAGCTTTGGAGCCTGTCTTGGAACTCTGTACACCAGACTAGCCTCAAATTCACAGAGATCTACCTGCCTCTGTCTCCTGAGTGCTGGGATTAAAGGTGTGCACCACCACCACCTGGCAATCTTTTTTTTTTTTTTTAAAGTACTTTGAATATAATTAGTGATTCTACTAGAACTCCCAAACCCAGTATCTTACATATTTAAAAAAAAATACTGACCTGAGTTGGCAATCACCTCAATGGCATTATCATCATCATTAAGCAAAATTGAAAAGTGACTTTAGATCAAAAGGTCTTTGTGAGCGTGCAACAAAAGACAGACAATACTGAAGAGTATGTGTGATGTGAAAAAAGAAATACATCTTAAAAATTGCCTCAAATCTAAAATAATGCATAAAAATAAAACAATGCATGAAGAAAGCAATGTTCAATGTGCAAGCTGGTCTGCATGTAAATTTTCTATATATGTTACACTGAGAAAATATGTCAAGGCACAAGGAAGACTAACCAACCAAAATTTACTTTCAAAACTACAAAGTTTTGTTTCCTACCCGTTTTTAATCATCCCTCTACTCCTCTTCCTTCTTGCTCAGTGTCAAATACAAAGACTAGCAGAAAGGCCCTGCTCGGATATTAGTCTCATTCAAAGAAATCAAAGCAAAGTCGAAGAACCTCTCTTGGAGTGTTTTTCTTTTTCTCCCTCCCCATTCCTCTTTTTGAGAAAGGGTTTCTCTGTGTAGACTTGGCTGTCTTGGAATTCGTTCTGTAGATTCAGCTGAGTAATAGGATCAAAAGTGTGTGCCACCATGCTCAGCTCAAAGCTCATTTTTGAGATTGAAAATTGGAAAATTACAAAATGGCTGAAAAGATATCTGAACCTCAAATCTCATACCAAAACAAGACTTGGAGGCTAAATTTCAGTACATTCAGGTAACCAGAACAGTCACCAGAATAATCATTTTTGTTGTTTTCTTTTTGTACTTGAGACAGTCTTCTGCATCCCAGACTGGCATGATACTATGTATATAAGAATGACCTTGAGCTTGACCTTCCAGCCTTAACCTCCCCAGTACTGTGATTACAAGAATGCACAACTATGTCTAGCTTATGAATGATCAAGATAGAAACTAGAGCTGTACAT